GGGTAGTTGTTGAGGAGAGCGCAAAGCATCATGTATTTCTCCTCGGTAACGTTGTCCGTCCCAGCGAGTCAGCTTTCCACAATTTTACTGAGGATTTTGACGTCTCTCTCAAACTCCGGCTTGAGAACTTTCTTTTTTTAGAGAGAGTTTCAGCTTCTCAGGTGTGACACCCCAAAAATCCACACTCCAAACCATGAATTAATTGAGTAATTAATTCTATTTCTTTTGAGGAATTGATTCCTAAAATCCTGATTTTTGATACTCAAGGACTAGTATTTGACTAGTCAATCTTTAAGTGGTGTTGTACCTTGTGCTTTGAGAGGAGTTCCCTTGTTCCTTACACTTTCTAAGAGTTAGTAAGGGTATCCTTGTCTTTTCACCAAGAGCTTGTTTTGTAACCTAAACCTAGAAGACTTCTTCATTTCATTCCCTTACATTTCCTAGAAAATATCTCTACCTTCTCTCTAGAAAACAAGAGTAGCTTGTTCTTCAAGTCAAAAGAAGCCTTTGTCAAGATTCCAAGTTTTGCTTCCAAGATTCAATCTTTCCTCTACTTTGGCATCTAGAAGGGTAAGATCTAAGCTTGTCTAGTCTTTTTGGTTCCATCTTAGTTGTCTTTTCTTAAAGGTTGGATCTTTATGATCTTTTGGTTTGATCTTGAAGTGGGTTTGGCTAGTGAGCTTAGTGGAGAGCTTGTTGTGGTGTAAGAAGAGTCTTTTGGTCTTCAAGAGGTAACCCATGCTCTACAAAACCTATTTTGCTTACCTATATATGATTTCTTGGCTTCTACTTGTGTTTTGCTATGAAATGTGAGAGTTTATGCATTTATCTTGTGATATTGCATATCTAGAGCTTGTGTTTAGGTTTCCTTTGTGCCATTGCTTGGCATTTTCCTTGGTTCAAGTCATTTTGTTGTGCTTGGTGAGATTTGGCATGTTTTGGACTTGAATTTGTGTTTGGAGGAGAAAATCCCCGAAGGGATTTGTTGTGGTACAGGGACGTACCCGCGGGCGGAACGGCGGGCGGGGCACCACCCGCCGGCCTACCCGCGGGAACGTATGCCTTGTGGGTGTTGTACCCGCGGGCGGGACCACGGGTGGGGCGCTACCCGTGGGTCCACCCGCGGGGAACACGTTGGAGTTGAGGTGGGATTTGTTCCCCGTGTTTCGTTTGTCTTGGTCTTTGATCTTTTGGCCTCCCGTTGTTCTTTTGTGGAACTATTTGAGCGTCTTCTTGATGTTTCGTAGGTCTAGAGCTTTTGGTAGGTATCTATGTAGGATCTTTGGTGTTGTGTATCGTGCTAAGTGTTCAACATTGTGTTTCGTTGAACCGTGTGGTGTCTTGTGTGTTCCTCGGAACTATCTTGAGTTTCTTCGTTGTTGAGCTTGCTAGTTATTATCCTAATGCTAGCGTCGTTGTGTCGATGGGTGGTGACGTTTCTCTTGATTGAGTATGTTTCGTACCTCTGTTGCAATCCGTTGCTTGTTTCGTGTGAGTGGTGGTGCGTGTGTGGCTTTACCTGGATTGCACGATTAGTGGTATGGGACGCTAGTCACCAAGGTATTGCAGCGATCCTCGTGGTGGCCGTGACGTGATTTCATGGAGTTGTGGCTGAGTCCACGTGTTTGGGGGATAACATTGTGTTATCCGGGCATGTGTTGCCGTGAATTGGTGGGTTTTCGTTGGTGGTTATAGGTGGGGGACGACGGTCCCGGAGGGATAAGGTTGGACTTGGCTGTACAGGGGCTTTCTGGAGGTAATGGTTGGCACCGAAGGTACAAGGTTGGGGGTAGCCATAAGGTTGGAACAGGGCATAAGGAAGGCATATCAACTCGTGATGGGTGATGTCACGAGGGCTTGTGAAGCCGTTGTTGTGGTGAGTTCTCTTCTCTCGTGACGTGTGTAGTCACGGAGGCTTGTGGTGTGTTTTGGCATGTGTTATCGTTGGGTGAGTCTTTATCCTTGTGTGTGGTTAACCTTTGTGGTTTGGGATGTGTTCCCGGTTTTGTCCTTGTGAGTGGTGAGTCTTGTGTTGTCTTTTGATCTTGGCTTTTGACTTATATATATGTATTCCGTTTCGAAAATGGTTTTCATATTATATATCTACCTATTTATGATACTTAACGGTATTGGTGGATTACCAGCATCTTTCGCTGACCGGGCGTCGCCCCGATGTTTATCTTTGTATCTTTCAGGTGATGCGTAGTCGAGCGCGATGTCTAGAGCCGGTATCTTAGCACCTGTATCTTTAGACAGTGTTGTTGAGGCCTGTGTGCCAATGTCTTTAGATTGTTCTAGTTTGGTTGTTTTTGGGATAGTGTTACACTTGCAGATTGTCGCCATAGCGTATACCTAGTGTGGTATACGTGGCATAACACCCCGTTTTGGATTCCTTTTATCCAGTTATCTTTTTATCTTCCGTTGTGCTAGTTTTGTGCTTGATTTGCAGGTGTTAAGACTCGTTTTAAGTAGTCTTGTTTTTGGGGGGTGTTACTGTTGGTATCAAAGCCTAGGTTTGAACCTTGGTTTAGAGCCTAGGAGGAGTTGAGTCTAGACTTTCTAAGTGTTTAAGTGTGTTTTGAGACCTCTAAGCGACCTTAAGGAGCTAAGTGTTGGGCTTAGGACTCTAGGTTGCGCGGTGAGATGTGTGTTGTTTTCTGCCTTGCTTGCTTGCTTTTTGTGGTAACCTTGTTGTTGTAGCAGAAGTGCGATGCCTCCTCGTCCTCGCGCCCGCTCCCAGAGACCCCGACCAACGAGCAGCTCGCCTAGAATCTCCATCAGTTGACGCAGACGATGCAGTCTCTCAGTGAAGCTCTGTTGAACAACAATCAAGCTGTGCCGCCTCCGCCTCCTGTTGGGCACCGCGATGTGGGTCGCCTTGTGTCTGGACATCGGCCGCCTTCCTTTGCTGGTGAAGAAGACCCTGTAGTCCTTGAAGAGTGGCTACGGGTGTTTGATAAGATCTTTACCGTGGTGGGTTGTCCCGAAGAGAGGAGAGTAGAACTGGCAACGTTCTACTTCTGCCAAGAAGCTGATCTGTGGTGGGTTCATGAGAGTCCGGCCTTTCTTGAAGAGCCTGGGTTTGATTGGACCGCGCGCAAGGACAGGATGCGCGAAAGGTTCTACCCAGCGCATGTGCGAGCCGCCATGTTTGATGAGTTCCTTCATCTGCAGCAAGGACCCCTATCTGTGGTGGAGTACCACAAGAAGTTCCTAGAGTTGGTGCGCTTCTCGAGGGTGTTGGTGCCTACAGAGCTTGCCAAAGTTGAGCGTTTCGTTGCTGGTCTGAATTATGAGGCACGAAAAGCGTTGACGGTGAGTAGACCCAGTTCCCTCAAGGATGCGTATCTGTGTGCCGCGGATCTGTTTTG